TGCGCCAGAGGGCGTTGACCCCTGACCCATTGGCCCACCCGGAAGTTGGCTGGCTGCGACCCGCGCGACCATTTTCACACTCGATACCTGAAACCCCCTCTCACCAGATGTGGACGCAACCTACGACACTTTATACACGCCGAAAACCAAAAGACAAAACCACTTTCACACACAAGGGGTGTCCATACGCTGTCAAAACGCATCATTTTCACGCACTAAAACACACATACTAAAAACAAAAACAACGTGCACCATCTACAGCCCAATAGCAAAACGTATACCAAGTCCCAGACATATCCGTCCACCCAAACGCTAGAAACGGCTGCGAACGTAAAAGGCATCTTCCCTCACAAAACCTCCGCGCACGGGATACATCCCTACCCGGAGGTAATTATAATGACCTCAAACCGAGGACGTTGTGTTGAACGTCCTTGCTCAAACCTACCAGTCTCTTTAACAACCCAGCCTTAGCCTTAAAATATGATACTAGAATGTGCTAACTCATTATAGTGTTGTAAACTTTCGAAAACAAGAAGGATCAGGAGGAAAGAAACCGTATGTTTTCGGAAAGCCAGATACATAAACACATAGAAAGGACTAGGCATGGTGATATTTGGCCGCGCTCAAGTAAGTGTTACAAACACGGCTCTTGCTATGGTTAGGAAATTGCCCGCTGCAGGACGTGACTCAACTGTGTAAACACACACACACACACACGCACGCAGACACACAGACACACACACACACACACACACACACACACACACACACGTACACACATGCACACACACACACGTACACACACACACGCACACACACACACACACACACACAAACACACGTACACACATACACACACACACGTACACACAGGCACACGCGCAGACACACATACAAACACACATATGCACACACATACACACAGACACACACATAGACACACACGCGCATACTCACATATAGACACACATGCAGACAACTACTCTGTATAATATTCTTACCTAGTTTGTTTCAATTCCCATAAATCCTTTGCAGATGATGCCAGCCAAGGATAACATTTTTTTGCTGTGGACTTATGAAGAACAAATTAAATTTTGCTTGCTATGCCATCCTTTAACTTTAATTTTGTTTATACAGTTGTATCAAAATGTAATATTTTTTTGTGATTGAGCATTTTCTGTCTACTTTTAATCAAGCATTGCCACCTATCATGAAAGTTCACATACACACGTACACACGCAAACACACATACACACAAGCACATACATACACACGCACACACACATACACACATGCACACAAACTACTCTGTATTGTATTCTTACCTAATTTCTTTCAATTCACATAAATCATTTGCAGTTGATGCCAGCCAAGCATAACATTTATTAGCTGTGGACTTATGACAACAAAATTTTGCTTGCTTTGCTATGTTTCAGGTTTAATTTTTTTCACACAGTTGTATCAAAATTTCATATTTTACGTGATATAGCATTTTCTGTCTACCTTTAATCAAGCATTGCCGCACAGCATGGAAGTTCATCTGTGTTACTTTGTAGTAATCATAGAACGATGCTAAATTTTATTCCAGCCGCGGTCACTATGCTTGCTACAAACACAGATGAACTTCCATGATATGTGGCAATGCTTGATTAAAGGTAGACAGAAAATGCTCGATCACGAAAAATATGAATTTTTGATTGTATAGAAAAAATTTAAGTTGAAACATGGCAAAGGAAGCGAAATTTAATTTGTTCTTCATAAGTCCACAGCAAAGAAGTCTTATTCTTGGCTGGCATCATCTGTAAAGGATTTTTGTGAATTGAAACAAATTAGGTAAGAATGTTATACAGAGTAGTTTGTGTATGTGTGTGTGTGTGTGTGTGTGTGTGTGTCTGTGTGTGTGTGTGTGTGTGTGTGTGTGTGTGTGTGTGTGTGTGTGTGTTGTGTGTGTGTGTGTGTGTGTGTGTGTGTCTGTGTGTCTGTGTGCGTGTGTGTGTGTGTGTGTTTACACAGTTGAGTCACGTCGGGCAGCGGGCAATTTCCTAACCATAGCAAGGGCCGTGTTTGTAACACTTACTTGAGCGCGGCCAAATATCACCATGCCTAGTCCTTTTTATGTATTTATGTATCTTTCTTTCTGAAAACATATGGTTCCTTTCCTCCTGATCATTCTTGTTTTGGAAAGTTTACAACACTGTAGTGAGTTAGCACATTCTAGTATAATCATATTTTAAGGCCAAGGCTGAGTTGTAGAACGACCTGGTAGGTTTGAGGTCATCATAATGGATTCTTTAACGTGTTCTTGATGTGTTCCTTTTCTCAAACACAGGCACTCCGACTTCACTCCGCAACCCCTGTCTGTAGCGTGTAATCTTCAAGAGAAGCCTGTTGTCAGAAAACGTAATCATATTACACCCCAACATCTGCTTAGATAACATATAGTGGCAGGCAACCGTGAACGTTACAGGAGGTCAATGAACTTCAGGTGATGACCGTCAGGTGAGCTAACGCAAGTAAACGTAAACAAGCTGACAACGACTAAAACTTTGTTGTCGCCCAGGCATTATCCTCGCGAAGATACAACCACTTCGAATTCCTTCAAATAGTTACAAATAGTCACAAATAAAATACATCTAGGATATTTTTGAAAACGTCTCGGTTCCTATTCGCAATGTTTGTTACAAAGGTTTCTTAGCGGTCTGATGCCGTCCTGTCTTGCAATTGGTTACTCAACTCGCTGTATTGAACTCGGTCTAGCAGCGAGAGAAAAAAGAGACAACGCGAATTTGTTTTAGCCTTCTTGGATCTTGACGGGGTCAAAAACTTCAGCCAAACATGCCTGACTTGAGAGGGAAGGTAGCCATAATCACAGGTAAGTAAACAGAAGATTTCAAAATCCGCAATCCAGTCAGTGCAGTGGTCGGTCGGCTGTTAGGGGGCGACTGTTCGACCCGGAAACGGGGAGGTGGCTAGCCAGGATGCCAGACCCCGGCTTGATAGTCCCTTCGGCTGGGGTAAGCCACAAGCCCCGAGCCTAGAGTTAGAACCTGGGGGTCTAATTTACCTCTCGAGTCGGTTAGAAAATTGCTGAGAGTCCATCTTTATGTGGCAACAGTCCACTTTGCTCCTAAATGTTTTAATAAAGAAAAACAGTCTGGTACCCAGGATAGGAGGTGATGTGGCCCGTGACATATATGTCTTTGGAGTTAATTATGGCTTCACCACACGAAGTGGTGTGGTGAAACCATATTGCTTTTTCTGATGTTTCTTCTTCTTCTTCTTCTTCTCCTCCTGCCATTTTTTAAATGGATTCAGCTTCTACATTTTGGGGCCTAAGGACCTGAAATTTGGTATGGAGGTACAGTGGGCAAATACCCCCAGGCGTTTTTTAAATTTTTGTGATACAGGCTTTTAGAATGGTTTTATTTGAGCTTTTTGGCTGTGTTATAGCAAATGTATTACTGTGCTGTGTACCACGTTTGGGCATGAGTCATCACAATGGAATGCAGGGCATCAACCAATAGGCATGCAGCTTTCCTCTATTCTTCTTGCTGATTGGCTGTTGGGATTTAACTTGATTAACACTTGCACAGAGCATTTCCACCTGCACAGAGCATTTCTTGCTGATTGGCTGTTGGGATTTAACTTGATTAACACCTGCACACAGCATTTTCATACTGACAGTATGTCTGTATTCAAGTGTTTTGGTAGGTATTTCAAGCTTTCCTGCTCCAGCATTGGAATGCGGGGCATGAACGTTTTTTTTATTTTGAAAATCAACAGTTTGCATTATGCAATTAAAAATCCTAACCAATAATGTAGGGAATAGCTATCCAACTGTTGTTTTAGTTGAATGTGACTTCATATTATAGTTATATCAATGTAAATCATTGTTTTCCCTTGTGTTTCTCATTCTTTCCCTACCATGTCGTAAAATGTGGTGAAGCCATCGCTGTATTTGCTCCTAAGCAAGTATTGGCCTTTCTAGTTTTCAACTTGCTTCATTCAAGTACATACGCTCAACAGGATCCCGCCAGATTTTATGAAAAACGTGATGTGCCAGAAGAAACAGCCAACTATTTACTTGTTGCATTATGTATTGTTACTGGGTGGGCCCGCTATAGGACTGGATTTTCAGGAGGTCTGTAGCGGCTACCATTCATGGCGGCGGCATGGCCGCACCTGTGGCTGTAGAACTATGTTTGAACAAAGGGGTAGACGGGTAGTCATCCCAGTATCCCTTGCAGTACACATTCACATGGCTGACTGTAGGAAACAAGCATAGCTAGTCATGCATGTTGTATTTGGCAGTGCGCCAACTGATACAATTTGATCAGTATATAAATTTACTACTTCTAACGCCTTTTGTCAAAAAGGGTGAGTAGTCCATAATGGTGAGTGTCTTTTGTAAATAATCTACAACTTTTGGGCGAGGCACAACAGTAAATGTAAACTGCAACACCTAATGTTTGAGTTGTGATGCTTGTACTTATCAGGTGCTAGCTCAGGTATCGGGAAGGGGACAGCTGTGGAATTTGCTCAGCTGGGAGCGCACCTGGCTCTGACTGGGAGAAACCAGGAAAACCTGCAGGCCACAGCAAAGGCCTGTGTGGAGGCAGGGACTCAGCAGGACAAGGTGCTTCTTTGTTTGTTTGTTTACATAAAATCAACCCTGGTCGTTTTTTAAAAACACATTCTGCTTTACTCTGAACCTTTCCTAAAATTGGGATTAAAACATTTTCTTTCCTCAATCAGATCCTACTTGTGACAGGAGACATATGCGAAGAACAAGTGCAGAAAAACCTGGTGGAACAAACTGTCCAGACGTTTGGCAGAATTGATGTGCTGGTATTAAACTAGCTAATGTTGTCTTTGAACAGAACAATTGGCAGCTCATCCAATAAGAGCATTGCGATTTTAATTAGCAGTTCGAGCAATCAAGGATTTGCTGCATGTCCATCAAATATCTGCATCTTTATGCCTCATTTTCCATGTGTTTATATTCATTTTAATTACGTCTCATATTGACAGACATGAGTGGGGATAGGTAGGGATATACGATTTGTCTATACATGTATTGAAATATAATTATTTAGGGTATAGAATTTTCTTCATACACAACCAGTAAGGTTCTCACCTGCTTACGTTTCGATGTCTATCAGACACCTACCTCAGAGCTTCTGACTGGAGTTCTGCAACTCGCCGCTATCTAACGCCAAAGTAGGTGGCGCTTTTGCGGCGAGAATGCAATCCCAAACGTGGCTGAGTTTGTATCCCCCCTCGTCCCGGTTCATCACTGGGGTTGATTTTCTTATCCAGACTGCTTCTTTAATCCAACGGATTCTCCTGTTGTCCTCCCTATCTATGACCCTGGCTCCCTCCCAGTCTATCACACAATTGTTTCTGGCAACATGGTCTGTGACTGCCGATTTCTTCTCTTCTTTTTGTGCTTGTTGTTTCTGGGACCGTGTGTATCTTATGGCTTCGATGTTGTCTGCCTCTTTTCTGTGTTCTTCCAGTCTTTTGCCAAAGGTCCTTCCAGTTTCTCCAATATACACTTCATCACAGCTTTTGCATGGAATTTTATATACACAATCCGTTTTCACGTGGTCCCCAATCTTGTCCTTGGGGTGGAAAAGCAAGTTCCTCAATGTTGTTTTTGGTTTAACTGCTGTGGTTACCCGGTGTTTCCTTAATACCCTTTCTAATGGTTCGGTGACTCCTTTTACATATGGGATAATCACCATGGCCTTAGTTTTCTCCCCTTCCTTCTTGTTCTTCTCTGTCTGCTTTGGCCTCTTCTCTTTCTGTTCCACTTTCCGAAAGGTCCATTGTGGGTAACCACAACGGATGAGGGCTCTTCTGATGTGTTGTGTCTCTCTTTCCTTGTCCTCCTCCTCTGTCACCACCGAGTTACATCTGTCCATTAGGGTGCGGATGACTCCAAGGTTTTGGTGCAGTGGATGGTGGGAGTTGAAGTTGAGATACTGGTCTGTATGTGTACTTTTCCTGTACACTAGAAGCTTTACTGTGCCATCCCCCTTTCGTACCAGGAGAGTATCCAGGAACGGCAATGTGTTGTCTTTCTCCATCTCATGTGTGAACTGAATACTTCCTGTGGGATCTATGTTGTTAAGATGGTCTGTGAGATCATGATGGGCACCCTTCTTCACTATCTCCATCACGTCGTCCACATATCTTTTCCAAAGCTTGGGTCTACAGGAAATGGGCGCTGTGGCTATGGCTTCCTGTTCTAGCCATTCCATAAACAGGTTGGCCAACACTGGGGACACCGGGCTTCCCATAGCTGTCCCAAACTTCTGCTGGTAAATATCCCCCCGGAAACTGAAAAAAAGTGGTCGTGACAATAAAGGATAAAAGTTCTATGATGTCCTCAACCTCTAGGTTTGTCCGGATCTTCATTTGTATTTCTGTGTTGGGTCCGTACGTAGTTTTTCATATGTTTTCTCATCCGCTAACATCCCACTCAGCTCAGCCACGTTTGGGATTGCATTCTCGCTGCAAAAGCGCCACCTACTTTGGCGATAAATAGCGGCGAGTTGCAGAACTCCTGTCAGAAGCTCTGAGGAAGGTGTCTGATGGACATCGAAACGTAAGCAGTTGAGAACCTTACTGGTTGTGCATGAAGAAAATTCTATACCCTAATTATCTTCCAACCTGATGAAATTAGTTTACGGGAATATAATTATTGTTTTTTAAAATTCTTTTTCAATATTGCTCAAAATATTGCCTTGTTGTCAATTTATTGTCTGACCTTAATCACAAATTGAATATAATACAGGTAATATGATGCACTTTTATCATAACAGACAACTGAAATGTTTGCCCTGAAAATATGACTGGTCAGAGCTTTACATTAAACGTTGAAAAACACAAGCTCTATTTGTGTACCTGTAATATCAAATACATATTACAGGTACACAAATAGAGCTGATGTTTTCCAGCAAAGGCAATTCCAAATCCAATACAATGAGAATTAAATTGTTCTTCAACTAAAAGAAATTTACTCACCGGAATTTTAATTTCGACCGACTTGACTGCTGTAACGTCAGCACTGGGTCAAAGTTCGTCGGAAGTTGGTACCGCCCCCCGTCCCGCTTGAGAGAAGGTTTATTTGTGTCCAAATCCAATAATCTACGTGTCAACAACCGTACACTCAGGTAAACAATGCAGGGATAGGCCAGCGGGCTACTATCGAGACAACAGACATGGCGGAGTATGACAAACTGATGAACGTTAACGTTCGCAGTGTGGTGGCCTTGACCCAGTTGTGTGTGCCACATCTGACCAAAACTAAAGGTACCAAGTTTCGTTAAGAATGTTATGGGCTTTCAGTCTAAAGTAGTCATAATTGTTTGTCTCAGTTGCCGTAATGCAACTTGTACATGACACCGGCCTGTACTTATCCTACCTCTAATGCATCATCTTCTGTTTTTTGTTAAACAAAGGGGCCATTGTGAACGTGTCCAGTGTGCGTGGGATAAGAGCGGTAAGTGTTTCAAGAAGCCTTAGCCACTCACATTTACCTTGTCATGACAATTGTAACAAGTCTGCAAAAAGGTCGTTTGTTGTCGGGAGTTAGTCGGATAAGGATGTCTCAGTCGCACATGTACTACAAGCCTTTAAAACTTGTCTGCATCGGTTATTTAGACATTTCAATAATACAAAAGTCATGTTTTTGAAAGGTGCAAACAATAGCAAACTTATGCTAGAATATGATGGGTTCAAGCATTCTCCTGACCAGCCAGCGTTACTAATGGATGGGAAGTAGTCGTGAGAAGCTCTTCTGGCTTTGTACATGTGTCAAGGCTAAACTTGCATTTGAACAAACTCCGGTCAGTTTTAGTCAGTAGTGTATACATGTAGAACATGCACGATTTTAAGGCATGTCCAAAACTATGTATCAGGGACCTTCAACATTGACATTTTACCCACAATGCATCACACTGCACAAGCACAGTTCAACACATGAACTGGTTTATTCCGCTTTAAGTTTGCAGGGAATCTTGCATACTGCATGAGCAAGTCAGCACTGGACCAGTTCACAAGATGTGTTGCACTTGGTTAGTGAATGAATACTCAATATTCATTTCTTTTATAAAGTGGTATATATTATATTATATTGTATCATATTTTACAAGGGTAAAGTTTTGTGGTTGAAACAGAAAATGGATTTAAGGTTTAAAAAATGAACCTAAAAACTTGTTACCAAGTATATTTCTGAATACAGTATCATAAAAAAGTTGCATGAATGTATACTTGCGTATATTGCTATCTTTTCAGAACTAGCTTCCAAGCAAATCAGGGTCAACTCTGTCAAGTAAGTTAATTTGTTATTTCTTCAATATATACATCTTTTGACTATGTTGAAGTAGCCGTGCTATTTAGTTATCCTTCTGTTCTATACTCGCTCCTTCAAGTAAAAGAAATAATCGTCTGTAGACTATTTTGAGGAATTTGTCATCTGTCATGATTGCCTTTATTATTGGTAAAAATTTTTAATCTCAATCCACAGTCCTGGTATTATTCCGACAGAGATTTTCAGACGCGCAGGACGGACTGAAGAAGAAGTTGCCAAGGTATAACTCAGAGTGGCGATTCCTTAAAAATCAAAGTATAGTTTAGTTTCGGTTTATTACGATACCCTTTAGCCCGTTAGGGCTAATCTTCCAGGGCTCATTACACATTACACACAAATATACACATATGACTACAAATTACATACACGTTGAGGTCACATGTCAGACAAGGTACTAATTACATGTATAGCTAAAATCATTGAACGAGCAAATTATCGGCTAAGTATAAAACTAATATTACCATTACTAAAATATTTTAATATAACAACTATCATCATATAATTAAAACCATTAAGTTGCATACATATACAATTGATCGATCAATCTCTTCAACCGCTTCAAATCCAATGTATCTGATTACATAAAATGATGTACTAGTATTACGATCTTGCTTCTACCCTTTCACTAGTTTCTGGAACATTCCAAGACTACACACGCCCTGGGGAGGGTCGGAGAAGTTTCAGAAGTTGCGAAGACCATTGCCTTCCTGTCCTCGTCGGACGCTTCTTTCATAACCGGCGCCCAGGTCCCCGTGGACGGGGGAAGGCACGCCATGTGTCCGCGTTAAGCCTTGGTCACAACCCGCCATGTACCGTACGTGCTTCTGCGTGCTGTCTTACGTGCAAAAACGTGGGCAAACATAGGGCAGTCGTGCGTGGTGAGTACCGCCTCCGTACGGAATACTACGGATTTGGGAGCACGCAGACACGCCGTAGTACTTAAAGTGCATGTCAAACTTTTCCTACGTGCGGTCTGCGGATTCACCACCCGTACGTGCGAGTACAGGCGACGCGCGTGCTCCGTACGTACCGTACGTAAGAGGCACGTGTGAGTACGGTGGGTTGTGACCGCGAGTACAGATCCGGGTCTAGCAGCTTTGCAATTGGGATGAAAAATATATTCGCCACTAGTACAATCTATAAACTATAAACTATAATCTCAATAAACTGAAACTGAAACTGAAGGACGCTTTACCAACCATGATTATTATAAAACAAACTATTTTTTTTACTCTGTCTCTTGATATTACTAGTATTTAGTCTAAAGGGATTCCAATGATTAACAAATTCCTCAAAATAGTCTACAGACGATTATTTTTTCACCTGAAGGGGCGAGTATAGAACACAAGGTTAACAATAGCACGGCTGCTTCAACATAGTCAAATGATGTACATATTGAAGAAATAACAAATTAACTTGACAGAGTTGACCCTGATTTGCTTGGAAGCTAGTTCTGAAAAGATAGCAATATCCGCAAGTATACATTCATGCAACTTTTCAAAAGTTTTCTGATACTGTATTCAGACATGTACTTGGTAACAAGTTTCTGGTTCATTCTTTAAACCTTGAATCCATTTTCTGTCTCTATTACATACCTTGTTTCAACCACAAAACTTTAACCTTATAAGATATGACTTATAATAAAGGGTTAATGCCTTGCCTTATCCTCGGTGTATAGGTTAAGATAATCCCTGGTCACGTGTTTTAAACACCCTATAAACCACCAAGTTAGCGTACCCGACCTGGGATTATCTCGCCATATACACAGAGGTAAAGGCGTGGCATTAACGTTATTATCATATAGCCTATCCAAACTTTTGTTGTTGTTTGTTGTTTTTATCCGTCATTCCTTCAAGTGGTCAAGCTGCTGTTCATTGAAACTAGCAAAATGAGTACTGTAAATCTTAATTTCTAACGATCCACAAATTGTAGTGAACGTATGGAAACTACAACAGTTATAGAAACTACTTTACTTTTCAAAAGACTATGTATATAGTATAGTACAAGTTTAGTGCAAGTAGTAGTATATAAGGATGACACAGCTAGTCTCGTGTTTGAATAGAGTCACACTTTGATCCTGTTAAAGATCCCACCACACCCATGACCCCATCAAACCTATGACTCCAGTCATGGACAACCTGTACTTAAAGTACAAAACTGTTAAAGGTATCGGTTCACTGGCCTGGCTAAGATCATGACAACTGGGGTCATAAAAAGTACAGAGGACAAAGTTCACTCGTGCATTAGGTGCCCCAGTCTGCATCAAGAACCTGTCAGTGAACAAAACACTCGCGTATAGCGTCTGTACCTTTCTACTACAACTTGGATCGTATATTTCATGTAAAGGATATTGTAAACATTCCACGAGCCAGAATATCTGGAAGAAAATATAAAACCCTTGCGCTGAGCTGAGTCGACAAGGTAAGTACCTTTCTCCGTATGTTTGTAGATAGGGCCCAATCCTGGTTTAGCAGGAGGGATCGTCCAATTCAAGAATTCTATGTAGTTGATCTGTTCATAATATTCATCAAGGTATGCCACATCTTTTGAAGGATTGATAAAACAGGTGACTATCACCTCTTCAAGGTGTCAAACCTAAGACTAGACTGAAAGGCCTCAAACCCGGGATGTAGTGTATATAGTTGGGGGAGGGGGGCACACAAAATTTCCATCGGTATAGTATTAGTCTCTCCCCATCACAACCCCCATAGCCTGTTTGAATCACCAGCTAGTGGCATTTTACTGGGACTAGAATAACTGAACCCGAGAGGCGTAAAATTGTTGCTTAATGAGAGTATAAGTAGCACAAGTAGTACGCCCCCGGGTTGAAATGGTATGAGCCAATCCGGGGTCAGCATTGAACTACCACAGCCTTTGTTCTAGAATAGACACAACTTCCCACACTATTTCGCGTCCTGCCTCCTTGTTGGATCTGTTAAGTTGATCTACACTGGTGGCAGCGGTGGGATAGTACGATAGTCTCTGCCGCATAGTATGCCATATCTGTAAACTTTCCCAGGTTTGTTGCAGAGTTCTTTTCTCTGGGTCCACGTCTCTTCTACGCAGTGCAACAGTGAACGCGACAACACCATGAGTCAAGATCGTGCTTCGACCTTTTACTTCAAGGGAGTTCGGTTCGACAATTCGTCCAACCTAAAACTATGGAACTGGTGGAATCATTTGAAGTAAGGGACGATGACGTCTTCATCTCAGCCTACCCTAAATCGGGTGAGAATCTTAACATTTTGCCTTCTTAAGCTTTTGTTTTCCTGTTCTTGCATCTTCGCCCTTTTTTTGCATGCTTGAATTGGCAAATCTGACACCTCTGTGTCCCCACAGCCGGAATAACCGTCTATCCATCGGCGCAACACACCAACTTCAGTATATCTATAGCTTTATTGTCGGTATAATTTATAACCGCCCTTTGGGGTAACATACCACATTCCCAGGTGAATATATCACACCAAGTGACCTGTTATATGCATCTCTCCACATCATACGAATATCTTCTCTCCAAGCCAAAGTTGTTGAGGGAAGAGACAAAATGGGGCATATTATTAGAAAGGTCACTCACAATGTTTCCCACCAACCTCTGCCATTTCCATTCTTGTCTGTCGACCCCCATTAGGGGCAAGACCCACCTCCAGGGTCCCACACCCGGCGGCAGATCCTCTGGTGCCTTAGTCTCCACCAGACTTCATTTGCGGGCTGAATAAATCGTAGAAATCGGCCTAAAAGAGTATTCATTGGCCAGGGAAAGTAGCCGGCAAGAGAAGCTCCATTTGCCCGCCCAGCTCGGCTACCTTCTCTGGCCAATTAATACCCTTTTTAGGCCGATTTCTACGATTTATTCAGCCCGTAAAAGAAGTCTGGTGGAGACTACTGGTGCCTCGCCATATTGGAGTATGACAACTCACGGCCTTCCCCTTGCCGGCTCTCTTTCGCTATTCTCAGGAACCGCACACGCTCCACCTCTTTCACCCCCACATGTCTTGCATGGTTCCTTCTCGAAATCCAGACCCCCCACACACCACATTGTCTTAAAGCTTCTGTTATCCTTCACCTCCTCTCCCGCAGAACTCTTCTCATGACTCATTTTCGCCACTTTCGTCTACAGATTCGTACCACATTTGCTGCATGAGAATGTCACACTCTCCGGGGCGGCTCGGTGCATTCTTCTTTGGTGAAGCACGGGCCCTCCCTTGGACGTGCACCGCTTACCACACCCTTCATACCTACATACCAGACCAATCTCTCCCCTCACATTCCTCTCCAACTCTCTTTCATCTCTACTCCATTCATACATGTACTTGTTGCCTCTTTGTCTCTCCTATTTGTCCAGGTGATCCATACGCTCTCGCTTCTTCCATCCGTCTCTATCATTACACACGTACAGTCGCTCCACATCCGTCCACTCCACTCAACTTCGACGCAGCAGACCCTTCCAGTACAACAATGTCTTCGTCTTGCGTCCACTCACCAACCTCTGCTTGGACACTACAGATGTCCTCTACTTTTTTTCGTTTGCCCGCCCTACGGCGGGCAAACGAAATTGTGTTCGCTTTCCTACATGCTCCTAGGTAGGTACGTACGTACGTTCGTTGGTCCTAATTACGTCATCTTTCTGTTGTCCGAGTCGGGTCATTGTGTCTGCGCTGTCTGCGCTTGGGGTCCCGTATGTACATGAAGCGCTAAAAATTGGGCTACTATAAGATAAAATGTCACCACAGCTCTATGTTTGACAAAATTAAACATTTCAATAATTTCACGTTAATTGTTCTTCCTCAGGAATGTCAACTCGTTTTATAAATACTCCTTTTAAAGCCTAGCTTTCATGGTTACTCTAATGGCTCAATTGGTAAGGAGGCTGTATTGGCAATGCCGGTGTCTACACGCAGTGAGTTCCATCCCCGCTGCGGAACTTTATTTTTAATTTTCTTTTCAACAGACGCTGTTTTGCTTTTAACACTCAAAAACTTGTGTTCGCTTTCCTACATGCTCCTAGGTAGGTACGTACGTACGTTCGTTGGTCCTAATTACGTCATCTTTCTGTTGTCCGAGTCGGGTCATTGTGTCTGCGCTGTCTGCGCTTGGGGTCCCGTATGTACATGAAGCGCTAAAAATTGGGCTACTATAAGATAAAATGTCACCACAGCTCTATGTTTGACAAAATTAAACATTTCAATAATTTCACGTTAATTGTTCTTCCTCAGGAATGTCAACTCGTTTTATAAATACTCCTTTTAAAGCCCAGCTTTCATGGTTACTCTAATGGCTCAATTGGTAAGGAGGCTGTATTGGCAATAGCGGTGTCTACATGCAGTGAGTTCGATCCCCGCTGCGGAACTTTTTTTTTTAATTTTCTTTTTAACAGACGCTGTTTTGCTTTTAACACTCAAAAACTTATTATTCAAGTCTCGACATATGTCTTTTTTTATTTTCTTTTTAACATCCGCTGTTTTGCTTTTTAACATTCAAAAACTAGTTGTTAACGTTACTACTTATTATTTTAACATAAAAAAACTAGTTGTTATTACTGTTCTTTCCATTATATGGGCAAGTGTTGCCTGATATTGCATTCTTGGGGATTAACATTCTCGCCATGGGTAATATATTACATGTAGTATGGCCATTGACAAGCTGCCAATATAAAAAAACATGCACAATTGAAATCAATTGCTCCTGACATTACATAAGAAATCTTTGTATTTCAGATTTGATAATTAAGAATCTAATTTCCTCACTTAAAAATGACGTGAACTAGCTCCTAATGAGCATCAATTCTGGTTATCTTTTCCTAAAATATCTACATGCCAATAGTGACAATCCCAATGTACATGTGTATGTAGTATATAGCATAGCTAGATTTCAATCAAAGACTTTATCATCACTTCATAAAAAACATATTTTTGCAAAAGACAAGAATAAAGAAAATTGTTGTACATCCTCAAATGTGTGAGTCTACTTCCAATACGTCTTGCTAAAGTATGATACACTAGAATTACCTTTTCACTGTATCACTGCGATGTACATTTTCAATTG